CGGTATAATACTCCTGCGTAAAACAAATGCACAAATAACTGACCGACTAAGAAAAAGCCTAAATAAATTGTTTAAAGCCCCCGGTCTGAGCATCACCACCAACGCTAAAGTGATCAACTTCCTGGATGTAACCTTGGACCTATCTAGTGGGCTTTATAAACCATATACTAAAGATTTATACAACCATAGATTCATCAACAATCTAACCATCATCCTAGAATACTAAAGAATTTACATAAATCAGTCCACTTTAGAAAGCTGTCTACCAACTCTAGTAATAAGGATATTTTCGACCAGCATAAAAGCAAATATGTAGAAGTCCTAGAATCAAGTAAGTATAAAATTAACCTCAAGTTGTTGGGCACTAACAAGAATTATGTCAACAAGCCTAAACACCGGAAACGCAAAGTCATATGCTTTAACCCATCCTTTAGCAGCAATGTCAAAGCTAATATCGGAAGTATTTTCTGAAACTAATCCATAATCATTTCAATCATTTCCCAACGTTAAAAAAATTCAATAAAAACAACGTCAAAATTAGCTACAGTTGTCCTAAAAAAATCAACCAATATATATCACAACGCAACAATGTTATACGAAACAAACAGCTATGACAGTCCAAAGTGCAATTAAAAAAAGATTTGAAAATGAAATCGTACGTGAAACATATGAGTCACCTTGTTATTCCAGGACAGAAAGTTAGACTGTTAGAGAGGCCGAAGATAATCTTGAATAAGTTGGAAAATGATTTATATATATATATATATATATATATATATATATATTTGGAGCTTTCCGTTCCTTAGCTATGATTAATTAATGTCATTTTGTTTATGATCGATTTCATCTTGATTCTTCTAAGCTTGGACAGTAATTAGACATTTTATTGCTCAAAAAGTGAGTCGAATAGTGTTATAAAATTCAAGTAAGATATCATAAAGGTTAATCTAACAAATGGACAATTTTGTTGTTACACGATTCGGCGGACAATTTTATTGTTACATATATATATATATATATATATATATATATATATATATATATATATATATATATATCAGCCTGCGTGGAATTTTTTATTGAATATTTTTATTGATAATATGTCGGTTCATTCACACACACACAAACACTGTGTATACTGGGTTCTCGACAAAATTAAAAATTAAACTCTATGTCCAGATTTGGCTTCACAATGTAGTGAAAACAGCTCCCCAACAATTAAAGAATGCAACTACCGACAAAACAAAATCTGCCCATTAAACGGCAAATGCATGGACAGAGGTTTATTTTATGAAGCTAACATCAAATATGATGGCGAGGTCAAGTTCTATTTGAGTTTTATTGAAAACCATTAGAAATCACGCTTCTATCATCACCAAATTACATTAGGCAATATTAAATATAGTGACAGCACTGCCCTATCTAATATTTTATGGGAAAATAACAAGCGAAAATAGAGACCCAACTGTCACCTAGGATTACGTAATGGAAGCTAAACGCTTCCGCGGTCAAGGTGATAAATGTAGCTTATGTCTTTTGAAAAGCTAATGATCCTAAAAAATATAGGCAACCCTAATTTGTTAAACGAAAGAAATGAATTAATGAGCACTTGCATATCTAGAAATAAATTCATACTCAAGAACGTTAACCCAGATTCATATAGTTTTTCTCCGTTTCGGACGCCATAGATACTTGTTTTAATGTTGCTATTATTATTGTTATTAATACATACATACTTATATATATTGTTATTAATACATACATACATCATACATATATATATTTTTTCTTTTTTTTCCTTTTAATCATGAATGATAAAGCTTGCCGTTTTTATTTCCATAATATATATATATATAATGGAAAAATAAATAATATATATATATAGGAGGCACGGTGGAGTAATGGATAGCGGCTTGGATTGAGGAATCGCAGAGCCGAGTTCGAATTCCAGTCGAATCCATTACATTCACTTACCTACTAATACCCTTGGGAAAGGTATGAATCCTCTTACTCTCCCTCCAAATCTCATGTGCCGGTGTCGGGCTGTCGGTTTCCTGGAAACTGATCTGCTTGACCCTCATACGTCGAATCTCGTCGGGAGAGTCGATTATATATATATATTTAACAACAATGATAATTAAACCAAACAGCACCACAAACTAGCAAGACCCAGAAACATTAACCAAACAGTAAACAACAATCAGTACCTGAAGATCGCATTAGGCACGAAACTCCGAGTCGCACTGTCGGCATAGGGTATTATGGATTTTTATTAATGTATACTTAATAGCTGTGTTATTTAGTATTGTTTTTCATACGCCAAAGGATTTATGAATATATTTGTATGTTAACACTTTCACATACATTTATTTATATTTATTCATTTGATATATATATATATATATATATATATATATATATGTGTGTGTGTGTGTGTGTGGGTGTTCAGTATATTTTGATATTAATTATTCTTGAAAAATATGTCTTATTAAAAAATAGAAACTTCCTATCTATTAAATTAATTGATCATTTTTTGCTAATACGTGAATAATTTTTTGTAAATTTGGTTGTTGTAGATATAAAAATTAGACTTAGAATTATTTACATGTGGTCTAAGTTTTCGACTCACGTGAGTCATCATCAGGAGTGTGAGAAATTACAGAGAAAGAAAGGCGATCAAATGCATTTTAAGTAGCGTATTGTTTTAAAAGTGTGTTTACTTTTCGTTTGAAAGCTAAATCTAATGCAATAAAAGGCAATAAATTATATGAGCAACGTGCAACGACAACGATTACAGGGAAGGTATAATGACTTGTAATCCTTTTTATATACATTCAACAATGGAGGGTGTTGATTCCAATCTGCTGAATAATAGCTCTCTCCAATTTAGAGGCAAAATCACATAGATGCGTGCTGGAATTTTTGCCTACACAATAAAATAGACCGGTTCTCGCTCTCATCTGACTCAGTCCCAGTCTGTCTTGTCTTGAAGTCAGAAAGTTATGTTCGTTTATCCGAATGTGTACTCACTAATAATAATGTTTACAGCAATAAGAAATAATGTCGGATAAAATGTTTTTAAAAAAAATCGGCTTATATTTCTCGATCTTTCTTTTTTCATACGTACTTTTCATTGGTGCAAGTTTTTTTTTTCAGAGTGTATGTCTGCGTTCTCGCGCATGCGCCCGTCTGCGTGTATGTGCATGAGTGTACAATGTTGAGAGTATTTGTCTTTTTCGTCGTTTTTTTTTTTCACTTTACACTCACTCCTTAACCGTTTCTCTGTTTTTCTGTATTTCCTCTTTTCTTTCAATTGTTGACATTTGACGTCCAGCTTTCTATACATATTGTCGGTGTTAATTTTTAAGCGTTCTAGTCTTTTCTTGAGTTAGGAAAACTTTTTTTTACATAAGTATATATATATATATATATATATATATATATATATATATATATGAAAAGTGTATGTATATATATATATATATATATATATATATATATGCAATTTATTATATATACTATTTATATATTATATATGCGCGGTACTTAATGGAAAGCGCTCAATATCAGAGATAGAGCTAATATATATATATATATATATATATATATATATATATATATATGAAATTATAGCGAGCCACCAATATTCGAGGATACTGTCTACTAGGGCGGCTAGCCAATCCCTATTGCAGACGCTCGCTCGTTCAACACCTACAGAGCCCACCTATGGTTTATACTGCAACTATGATGAGCAGACCTTAGTCACAGTTTCTGGGAGCGAGTGTGATCAAAAACCTGAACAAGGCCGGCACGCTCAAACCTTCGGTCACGAGGACTTGTGACTTTTTGCTAGCACAGCTATCGACGCTCCGTCTACCTAATTCCACCCGCAAGGCTTGGGTCAACTCGTGGTATGGTTTTCAGGTACTCTCCAAAAGTGTCGCACGCTGGGATCGTCCCTACTCCAGACCGATAATCAAATGAAATCAACCGAGGCGAGATTCGAACCCGGGTCTCATAGTCAGAAAGTGAACGTTGTAATCACCCGGTCACCAATACACACACACACTCACACACACACACATGTACGCACGCGCGCGTGTATATATATATATATATATTTGTGTACGCACGCACATGTGTGCGTAAATAATATATATATATATTTTATGTGTGTATTTAGGCAGCATTTTTCATTTAAGACATCTTTCATTAAATAATATAGACAATTTTTGTCTATTTATTTTAAGTAAATTCCTTTCATATCGTCTGATAAGCTTAATAACATTATCATTGAAATACGAAAGAAAATCACGATATTGATACATGTTTTTTAATCCTATCTAAGCTTTCGGCTTGCATAAGCCATCATCAAAGATGACAATAACATTACAATATATTAAACAATACACGGACAAAACAGTTATTACACTTTGATCCCAGCCCGGCGGCCAGGGAGTGAGAAAAATATAATCCGGATAGCACAGGCTGCTTGGTCAATGAACGTCGAATATTACCTCATTAAGGAAGCGGCTAATATTACTATTACCATTACCTGTTACTCTCTCCGTTCACACAGCAACTCCTTCAGTAACCCTCTACCTTGAGGGACTCCTGGGTAATATATAGGGAGAATGTTAGTAAAAAAAAGAAAAAGAAAAAAAAAAGGTCTTTATGGTTCTTGCCAAAAAGCATAAGGTTTAGTATATTAAGAAACAGTCCCTACCTCTTCATGAAGCCCCCCCCAGCACAAAGGGGAATAAATCAATATTCACGGCTTTACGGATCTGCACACCGTTGAAGACTTGACGACAGCGTAGTCGTTGATGGCTTTTGTACCGGGAAGCTGATTATTGTTTGGCGGGAAAACAGTGTTCATTGTGGAAACTCTATTCCACTGTTGCGTTGGCTATAAATGCAATAGGCTGGTTTAAATTTATCATATCGATCTATAGGTCATTGACCGTCTTAAAGAATAGTAGCTTTTTTAAATCTATCAG